GGGTTTTGGCGGAGTTCTGACGCCATAGATTTACATACTATGAGGTTCCGAAAGACCAATTTAGAACAGCCAGTTACACAAGACCAGAAATGAATGAAAGGAAACTAGAAACCACATCCACAGGCTCTATGACGCCATCAAGTGGACAATAATAATACAGACAGAGTGCTTATAATGACATGAGAAATATGTGTATGTATATATATATATTTTTTTTTTATTATATATATATATATATATATATATATATATATATATACATGAATGGTTGAATCTAAAGTGAAAGTAGAGACATGGAAGAGGGGGTTGTAACATGAATGTGCTTTTCTTAGTTTGTAGCTGTGCTTTTATCACTAGGGTAAGGCTGATTTATTTTTATTTAAAAAAAATTTCCACTTCGCTGCGCTTCAGATGGTTTCTCATTTTTGATTCAACTTTCCCCTTTTAAAAAATACCCATTCACAGGGCACATATTAAGCAAGTGGATATGATCATTTTTATTTCCTTCCCAGTGCTTTTGGACAACTACGTTTGTGTTTGCAGTGATATTTGAGGTACTTGTCTGCAGAACTGTGGCATCCAGATGCAATCTATGTCAAACAGACTAAGTGACAACAAACAATAACTTATTTATAATGATCACTGGAGAACAATCTGTGGCAAGGTGCGAATGATGCTGGGGAACGTAGCCACCTAAGCACTATTACTGACATACCACTACTTCAATTAGTGCTACCAGTGCTACTGTTACTATTACTACTTTGACAAAATACTACAACTACTACTACTACTACTAATAATAATAATAGGCTGACAGTGGTGCAGTGGTTAGCATGGAGGTCTGGGTTCACATCCCGGTCTGGGGCTTCTCTGCAAGCAGTTTGCATTTTTGTGTAGGTTCCCTCCGGCTTTCTCCCACAGTCCAAAAACACAACTGTCAGCCAGGTTGATTGGTCTCTCTTAAATGTCCTTAGGTGAGCATGTGCTTGGTTGTTTTTCCTGTATGTCTCTGTATTGCCATGCGATGGACTGGCAACCTGTCCTGGGTGTACCCAGTATCTGCTGGAGATAGGCACCAGCCCCCCTGCGTGGACAAGTGGGTAAAGAAAATGAATGGATAATAATAATAAAGTATTTGAACTCACTTACATCAATCCTGTTGGACCTACAAACAACTGACAAAGTGCTGCAGGTTTTATTTTGAAAAGTCATGCATGAAATAAACCAATCATATGACCCATGTAATTTGTATATAATATATTGTAACATATTTATTTATACAAGGCCTCTTTTGTCACTGGTGATTTGGTTTAGTTTTCAGTGCAGAATTGGGGCTGTATCTACATGACTCTTTCATGTGCCAGTGGGTTGTTGGGGTCACTACTTAACAGTAAGAAATGACAGAAAGATTTTGGTCCCTTTTGCTTGTTATCAAAAATTTCAAATGTTACACAAAGTTGTGCCCCCCCCCCCCCCCCCCCCCGATATTTCCCTCAGCTCAACAAAATTTTATTTGTATAGCACCTCACAGACATAAGGTATGCCACCAAGGCGCTTTACAATAAAAAATCATAAAGCAAATAACATAAAAATAAAAACACAAGAATACAATAAAACCAGTGGCATAAGAACAACCAAAACCAACTAAGAGAGGTAAATGCCGAGTCATAAAAAAAGGTTTCAGCCCTGTTTTAAAAACTGCCACAGAGGTCGAAGCCCTTGTAAAATGGGCAAGCTTGTTCCAGAACTTTGGGCCCGCTAGCACAAAACCCCTCTCTCCCCGTGTCTTCAAGCATGACCTTGGGACTGTTACGTCCCTCAGCTCGCTAGGAGAGATGTGAAGGAGGGAGTAAAAGATGTAGTGTGTAGGTTAATAATAACAAAGTAATTGTGTCGCCAAACAAAGGATTTTATTACAACAAATACAAAGAATCACTGTAAAAGGGAAACTGAAGCGCTGAGCCAAAAGGGCTGGGAGGAGGGGAACTAACTAACTGAAAGATTCTTTAAAAAGAAAAACCTATACTAACGAGAGCCGTCCTGGTAAGCGGAGACGCTCGGGGGAAATCTAACGCGGAGTCGAAGGCCAGTCCAAAGTTAAAGTTACCAAAAATCCTTACGAACGAGAGTCTAAATACCAAAGTATCACGAGGCTAAACACACACACACACACACACACACACACACACACACACACACACACACACACACACACACACACACACACACACACACACACACACACACACACACACACACACACACACACACACACACACAAGCACACAAGCACACAAGCACACAAGCACACAAGCACACGAGGAGAAGAGAGAAGACTGAACACTTTCGTGCCCACACTTCCCTGTACCTTCTCCCAGACTGAGGGCAGGATAGCAGCTTTTAACAGCTGACCAGTGATTGCAGGTGATAACATACAGCTGGGCACCGGGAGACTGGCGAGGCAGAAGCCACTGAGGCCATCTTGTGGCCGGAAAGGGGAAAAGCACGTAACAGGGACCGAGAGCAACATGAGGCGGAGATTCCGAGCTGGGACATAAGGCCGAAGTAATGTTGCCAGGTAAGGTGGCGTCAGTCCACGCAATGTTTTTAAAACCAGTAAAAGGATCTTAAAACGAATTCTAACGGCAACGGGCAGCCAGGATTGGGTGATATGGTCATTTTTCGCTTACCTTCTAAACATCTGGCTGCAGTGTTTTGCACCAGCTGTGACCCGGCTAGAGTACCCTGGCTTACACTGAATAAGACCGAGTTCCAGTAGTCCAGGCGTACCGTGACAAAGGCATGAACTACAGTCTCAAGTCATGTCTTGACAGTAATGGTTCACCTTAGACAGGTGACACAGTTGATAAAAGGAGGACAAAACCACACCGTTAAATTGGGTGTCAAAGCAGAGGGCACAATCTAGCTTCACACCAAGATTAGCTACTGATGCACTCAGCTGACCATTGATCACCCTACAGTCAATTGTGGAGGTATTCCTATGGCCACTTGGGCCAAACAATACTGCCTCAGTCTTCTGCGCGTTGAGGTACGTGAAGTTTCCAGACATCGATGACTTGACCTCGGCCAAACACTCCAAAAAGTTGTTAATGGAGAGATCACCTGACTTATCCAGGGGCAAGTATAGCTGGCAATCAGCGTAAAGGTGAAAGCTGATGCTTAACTTACAAAAGATATCCCCTAGTGGTAGGATGTATCTTGTGAACAGCAAAGGCCCTATATGGAGCCCTGCGGGACTCCCCATGTTGAGAGTATTCCAAAGAAAAGCCGCCCATTCTTACACATATCATCCTATTGGCTAGATATGATCTGTCCTACTCCAAGGCTACGCCTGAAATCCCAACAGAATGTTGACGACGATAGAGCTGCACTTAATGAAATTTTGTGTCAAAGGCAGCAGTGGGATCAACAAAATCACTAGCACAAACTTGCCACTGTCGGTTGCTAAAAAATGTCATTCAGGACTCTAACGAGCGCACAAAGCACACACGGTCAACTTGTTTGATAAAGGCAAATGCTTTTTACGTTCTCAGTTCATAAAAGTTTATGAATAATAACAAAATAACTCTAATCATCAAACATATTTCACACATTCACACACATTCACCTCTATTAATGTCACGACTCCAGCCCCACATCACTCCTCCAACCGGGATCTCTCCTCCTAACTACAACTCCCAGCACCCCTCTCGCCACCTACGTCATCACTCCCAGTCTATATACAGAAGTCTCGCCCTCTCGCCTCTACTCAGTCATCGTTTCAACGATCCGACACATGAGATTATGGATTACCAAACTCCCCAACTATCACCGACTTAGTAAGTCAACTCTTTCCTACTCTGGAGTATCCGCTCGGCCCTCCTTCTGGTCCGGTCCCGCGGTCACTCCTAGATCAAACCGCGTGCCTGTTTATTCCCGACGCTGGCTCCTCCGCATCTGGGTCATTGAGTACGTTTACATGCAGCCAATATCCGGGTTATGATCGGGTTAAGGTCGGGATTCGAGTTTCTGAGTTGATCAGAATAACCCGTTTACAAGCATAAATAGAAAGAGTTACCTCTAACGTGCATAACCCGATTTAACTGCGGACGTTGGGGTAGCGTCAGGACGTGTGGACTACGTCCAGACGCAATATGCGTCATTTCCGGTTCTTCTTGTTCTGGTATCCGTGAAAACAACGACATGTTTCCCAGTTCGGAAGAGATAGCGACCGCGTTTGTTTGCGCTTTAGTTTCCTCATCACTCAAAGTGTGGTGCTGTGCCGCGACTCGCCATTTTGCCCCCAACTTGTTGTTTACTTCCAGTGTTCTGGCGCGTACAAGACGTCTCACTTCTCAAAAGACCAAGATTCTTTGCGAACAGAGTATGCGCAGAACACACGCTTTGATGGAGATATCCCGGTATGCGTTTACACGACCAAGCATTCGGGTTAGAAGAGGGTTACCCCAGGTGTAGTAACCGGGTTTTTAAAAACCCGGTTATGAGCATCTCTGGGTTTTTGGCGGTGTTTACAAGGACCTGCGGAACCGGGTTATTGTGAATATTCTGGTTTTAAAAGGGTTACTGGCTGCATGTAAACGCACTGATTCAAACATGCTACAGCCAAACTCCCTGGTCTCTCAGTTCACCCGCCTATTGCCACAATTAAGAATTATACAATTGCTGTATTTCTGTTCAAGATGTTATTTATTTAAGACTTTATCGTTACTTAAACATTTCTTGTTACAAAAATAGAATTTAGCTGTAATCATCATTCATCTTTGTAGAAGACATCCATATGATGTACAGCATCATACTGACTTTACACATAAGGATGGATGGGGGCGGTTGAGACCCACACAACAGACTAGTAGTACCTTATCTGATCGTAATAAAACTGAGGAAAACAAGAAAGTAAGTGAATGTATATATAATATTCAAACAACAGAAGAGTTCACATATGGGTTTAGACATTTTTGGATAAAAGAGTGAAACCCCTCCAATTTTTAGAAAGATAAAACTTTAATCATAGAAAAATCAATAGCAGCAGGTGACAAGGTTTTCATAGATTATAATTCTTTATTGTACGTGAGTGTTACATGTGGGAATAAAGATTCTTGACTTCGTGGGGTTTGCCACATGAAGGAGAATTTGTTTGGGTGAAGAAGAAACAAATACTGGAATATGATGATTCTGGTGAGATGCTGACAGATGAGAGGTCTACTTGAATGGACGAGTTCAGCATAAGAAACACTTACAAAAGAGGAGGATTCAGTAATGTTGATGGTTACTCCTGAAACTGCATTGGTCAGACATTAGGACTGAATTAATACTTGAGAAGTTAATCGTCATCATCATCGTCATCATCGTCGTCATCGTCGTCATCATCGTCGTCATCGTCATCATCGTCGTCATCGTCATCATCGTCGTCGTCATCATCATCGTCATCGTCATCATCATCATCATCATCATCGTCGTCATCATCATCGTCGTCATCGTCGTCGTCATCATCGTCGTCATCATCATCGTCATCATCGTCGTCGTCATCATCATCGTCGTCATCATCGTCATCATCGTCGTCATCATCGTCATCGTCATCATCATCATCGTCGTCGTCGTCGTCATCATCGTCGTCGTCATCGTCATCATCGTCATCATCGTCGTCGTCGTCGTCGTCGTCATCATCGTCGTCGTCATCATCGTCCTCCTCTGGATCAATATCGCCTGACAAAACGTCCTCAAGCCAGTCCTCCAGGTCATCAACGGATGGCAGGTCTTCCCCATCGTCCATGTCCATCCACACACTATCAGCCTGCAGAGCAACAAGAGCAAACAGACATTTCAGCTTCACAGAGGTGATGAAACTCTGCAGAGCAACAATTCTCAACTTAACTAAATTTTATTTGTATAGTGCCTTACAGGCATAGTATATGCCACCAAGGTGCTTTACAGGGACAGTAACAACATAAAACAAGCATATAAAACAATGAAATGTCAATAAAAAACACAACAAACACCTTAAAATGGAGATAAACACACATTAACACTAAGAGAGGAAAAGGCCAGGTTATAAAGGTAGGTTTTCAGCCTTGTTTTAAAAACCGCCACGGAGGAAGAAGACTTTATGCAGTGGGGAAGCTCATTCCAGAACTTTGGAAATGCTACCGTGAAGGCCCTGTCCCCACGCATCTTCAGACGTGACCTTTCGACCGAGAGCAGCAGGAGGCTCTCCGAGCAGAGAGCCTGAGCTGGGGCATATGGCTGCAGTAACGTAGTCAGATAAGGCGGCGTCAGTCTATTCAATGTTTTAAAAACCAATAAAAGGATCTTAAAATGAATCCGAAAGGCAACAGGCAGCCAATGCAAATGGTGATACGATCATATTTTTGCTTGCCTTCTAAAAATCTGTCAGCAGCGTTCTGCACAAGTTGCAACCAGGCTAGAGTACCCTGACTCACCCCAAGCAGGACTGAGTTACAGTAGTCCAGGCATACCATGACAAATGCATGGACCACAGTCTCGAGGTCATGTCTCAACAGGAATGGTTTCACCTTAGCCAGGCGACGTAAGTGATAAAAGGAGGACGAAACCACTGCATTAATGTGGGTGTCAAAGCAAAGGGCACTATGTACTTTCACACCAAGATTTGCTACTGATGTACTCAGCTGACCATTGAACACCCCACAGTTGATTGTGGAGGTATATTTATGGCCACTAGGTCCAAACAATACTGCCTCAGTATTCTGCTCATTAAGGCACATGAAAATTGCAGACATCCATGTCTTATCCGCAACTAAACAGTCCAGAAAGTTACTGATGGTGTGGTTACCTGACTTGTCCAGGGGCAAGTATAGCCAGCAGTCATCATCATAAAGGTAAAAATTGATGCCAAATCTACAAAAAATGTCACCTCATGGTAGGATGTATATAGAAAACAGCAATGGTCCTAAAATTGATCCCTGCGGGACCCCCCATGGCAGGTGTGAACCCGCCCATTCTTACACAGATCATTCTATTGGTCAGACATGATCTGAACCAGCCTGCTTGAGATTCCAACATAATGTTGAAGGCGATGGAACAACATTCTGTGATCAATTGTATCAAAGGCAGCAGTGAAATCAAGCAGATGAAGAAGGACAAAGTTGCCACTATCGGTTGCTAAAAATATATCGTTTAGGACTCTTAACTAGTGCTGTCTCAGTACCGTGTAACGACCTAAAACCTGACTGGAAAGATTCCAAAATGTCATTATTCATAATTCATCCTCTGCTTTCCAATACTCAAACAATCTGTAGAAATCTGTAATCATGGTAGTATACAATGGTAGTATGACAGAAGCACAACCAATTAGTGAGACGATTACAGATTTTACTCACATCATCAGCTTCAATAACACCAATCTGTGGGTGGGACAGGTCGATTCCAAAAGTCTTTTCCCAGTGTGGCACAAGCTACGAGGAGAATAAAATAAACAGTCAAAGCACTTCCTTTAGCAAACCCATAGTTTTGCTTTTTGTCACAGTACTTTAGTTTTTAGGGACTGGTAAGTATCACATTCGTACCAGAGGAAAGTCGTCAGGGTCAATCCAAACGATGCTGAGGTTGGGGTTCTCTGTGTTATCTTGTGCAACATGCTTCAGGATCTGCAGGAACTCAAAACCATCTGTGCAATGGCAAAGATAACAGTTCGACTGAGTTATTCCACTCACACACCGCAAGGAATCATTGATACTGTTTGAACATTTGCTAGAATTTAAAATTGGCTTTTAAAAATGTGTATAATATATTTACAGATGATTTTTCATGCAGAATAATTTATTTTGTTTTATTTCCTTTACCTATGTCTGCCTCTTCTGCAAAGGCAACGATGTGTTCTCCACCAATATCATCTGCCTGTAGGAAAAATAAAGCGAATATAATAAAAAAAAAGAGTGAACATTTTGATGCAAAGTTTTTAGTAGAAGTCAGTCATAAAAAGCTTTATGGAGTTGGATGTTTAAAAGTTGTTTTTTACCCAGATCTCGTACAAGTTGTGGGGTTGCAGTTTCCTCAGGGTTGGTCTTTAACACAGATTGATTTAAATTATTTTAGACCGTTTTTGTTTTCCATTAGTTTTTACTGACATAAGTCTTGCTGGATGGTTTCTGAGATATACCTGTCGTTATCTTCAATGAATTTCACCAGCTCTTTCTCAGAGTAAGGTTTTCCAGGGATGACCTTAGGATCATCCATGAAGGGTTCATAAAAGTCCACTTCATTGAGCTTCAGCCCCAGAGACTTGGCAACCTGTAAGACAGGACCAAAACATTAGAGCCATCTCATTACCATAAATAACACATACACAATAAACTACGGTAAACAATAACATCAGAAACACTAACAAGTAAAGTATTTTCTACATTCTGTATAATGGGATGAGAAAACCTGCATCCTGTAATCAAAGGTCCACCAAATCATCCATCAGCGTTCCCTAACAGTAGGCAGTGATGATTGGGACATGAGTTTCCAAACTCATCAGAACCCATTGTTATGGGACATAATGACAGTTCTGGTAAACATATTCAAATAAGAGTTGAGATTTTATTGTTGTCCAACTCCTGTGGTTGGAGAACAAGCACAACAGCATCAACCCGCCGCCGCCGTGCTGATGCTATACATGCTATTGTGTTCTTGACATCATGCTGCCTAGAGGAAAACAATATTTTCTGTCAATCCTTAGAAAAAACAGGTCATACACCTCAATAAAACTGACATTCTGTAGAGTTACAGATGTTTATTGTGATTTCTCTGAGCATCACATTGTTTGACCTTGTTGTGAATGGTAAAATGGTAAATGGTCTGTATTTGTATAGGGCCTTCTTAGGGTTCTACACCCTCCAAGGTCAGTCATTCACCCATTCACACACACGCTGGTGATGACGAGCTACAATATAACCACAGCTGCCCTGCTGTGCCTCGACGGAAGTGAGACTGTCGAACACTGGCGCCACCGGCACCCAAAGACACAGCAGCAGCATTTTCTGGCGGTAGAACCTTCCGATTGCTGGACAACTCACTCCACCTACAGAGCTACAGCTGCCCTGATGGGATAATCCCAGGAACACACTGTGGCACCACCCACTTTCAGACATTACTAATGGGTTTGATTGTGTTCCACATGTAATAATTCCTTATTGTGGCAGAATGATTCTGACAGAATAATAGTTAACATTCAAACTGCTGATGTCAATATAACAGCTGCTCAAATCCTCCAAACCAACAAGCTGACAAAACCTTCCAAAAATCAAGAAATTGCTTACTTTGGGGTTGAATGTAGCAAAGAACTTGACGTGAGGATGGAACTCTTCAGCGGCATCAGCAAAGGCTTCAAAATCTGAAATTTCACAGACATTTGCTAAATCGGCTCCCGCAGAAAATGTCTGAGAAGGAAACTTGTTGCTGTCATCACTTTGTACATTCAGTGTAGAGTTATGCAAAGGTTAAAGTTCAACTGAGCGGTGTGATGCCTATGTAAGATCTATAAAGCCGTTGCGTTCCACCACAGTATTCTTACGTTCTGACTTGTGACTCTTAAAGTAGCCCACCAGTTTGATGTCCTCTTCGATGTTCTCAAAGCCTTTCAGCTCTCTATTGTTGTCAATGATTTCCACAGGGTCCTCAAGAACCTGTAGAAGATCAAGAGTGACGAAAGAAAAAGAACCAGTTTGTCTTTGGTTAGAGTTAGACCGCAAATTCCCCACGCCAGAGCAGATCATGATGGTGTTGACTGCGAATAAAAACGTAATGGAAACACAATAGAAACATAATACTGCGATGGACTGGCAAACTGTCCAGGGTGTACCCCGCCTGCTTGCCTGAAGACTGCTGGAGATAAGCACCAGCCCCCCGTGACCCTGGATGGATGGATGGATGGATGGATGGATGGATGGATCAACCCATTCTCACACCCAAGGCATCAAAACATGACGCGTGTGACCAAGCCTCAATCTATGACGAATCGGGACGCCCCAGCACGTCAGGAGACGGCGATCAGGGACAAACAGATGACGCAGCGTCCCATAGCGTCGGTATTCGACGCCGTTGGTGAGACGGACATTAGAACTACTTGTGAACTACTTAACCTTCCCCTCACCCCAATCCTAGCCTTAAGGTCACAGTTTATGGACCTTAAGATTAAAGTTGGGGTGAGGGGAAGGTCAAATAGTCGAATAATGTCCTTGTAACCGGGCGCGTCAAACAGTGACGCCAGCGGAGCCACGTGTCCCTGATCATCATCTCCTGACGCGCTGGGGCGTCCCGATTCGTCATACGTTGAGGCTTGGTCACACGCGTCATATTTTGACGCCTTGGGTGTGAGAATGTGTTGCATTTTCTGTGTCGCTCATTTCTCAGTAGAGTTGTAAGAGGACTCAAGGAATTGAAACATCTTTCTCGAGAGTTTTTGGAACACGTTTCACTTTTAAATGCAGAAAATAAACTAACTCATAGCTTGGGGCTCAACCAACTGAGAAACATGCAATAATACAGGTTTCGGTAAACACGAGACCAATGCTTTAATTCCACACCATTCTGACGTGTTCTGACTGGATGTTGTTTATTGTTTCAATCTAAAATGTGTCAGGCAATTAACTGTGAGATTATATCCTCACGAACATCATAGATGAACTCCACGAGAGTGTGGGCCTCAAGTTCGCCGTCGTATTCTATGGTTTCATCATCAGTGATGATGAAGATGCTGTCGGACTCATCGAGGTCTGGTGCAAAAGAACACACTCGTTTAGTATTTAACATCACATTTTTCGGCCTCGTTTAAACATCCTGCAGGTGGGTTTAGGTTAATTAGAATGGTGATTTAATTTATTTTTTGCATGGATGTTTTTTTTTTATACTTACCCAGTTTCTTTGCAACAACCTTGTCTAGTTTTGCATCAATGAGACCTACTCCAATATCCTCGTCGTCAAACTCGCTCAGGACCTGGGCCACACGCTGTGGAACAAAACAGAGTTATGTAAAAAAACGACTTTGACTTATAAACAACTAAAAAAGACGTTTATTGAGTGTGTTGCAGTTTGGAGGTGACGTGGAAACAGATTCTGCAGCTTTTGATGAAACTGTGGCACTCAGGAGTTTCATTACCATAAAAGCCTGCTTTTCACTGAGCTGTTGATGCACTTTCTAAATCCGTATGAAACCTGAGCCTCGTGACTGACAGCCGATTCCACCAATCCGAGCGGCACACATGCAGTCGAACTGCTTTGAGGAAGTGGTTTAGGGTTGTCTTAGCGCGTTTCAAGTGTAACAAGCACACACACACACACACACACACACACACAAACACACGCATGCGTGCTTGCTTGCAGACTGGTGTCAGAGATCTTGAGCAGCTGCTTTTGCTGGCAGAAATAGTCAGCCTGACCGGACCGTGCTGCGGTTTGTTTGCAGATGATTTTCTGCATTTCTTAAACTTGACCGGAGGTATAGATGGGCGGGAATCAGAAAAGCAGCTCCTCAACCTGAAAAGTGATTTATTTTATTTTATGTTTAAGAGATGTTCCTCACACGGATTTAAGTGTTATGTTATTGTATTACGTATTGATTTACAGTAGTTTACACAAACGTACAACATAAATCAACCAAACCTCCTCTACTGCAGGGGAAATTACTGCTCCGATTTTGCGTTTGGACTTTATTCCTTGCAGGTTTCAACTGTAGAACACACAAATTGCATTGCAGCTGCATGTTTTTATGGACTTAAATGAGTATTTACTAGGACATGATTGATAAATATAAACCACATGTGACTGGGAAGAATCTTTGCGTTGAAAATGATTCCATTTGCTTCTGGCGTGACATTTTATCAAGCAGCACACAATTCTACTGATTTGGATATTAAACCTAGCCACAAACATTCACGTGTGCTTTAATTTGCACTGATATGTTATTTGCTGTACTGCTCCTTCCAGTAAAGCCGTCAGATGTGAGGGAAGCTTGTCATTTGCTGTAATTGACCCACATGGAGAACTTTGACCTCTGAAATGTTTCACCTTTAACTGTTGCCTCCTTCTAATATTAAAACCTCATCAAATGTAAATCATAATACGTTCTTGAGGAGAAACACAAGCCTTCAGAGAACTCGACCCACCACAAAAGCAGCCCAGGATAAATATAGTGCCAGGAGCCACACGGGCCCAGGGACTATTTTGGTGAGGAGGTGGTGATGCTCAGCGTTCAGGGATCCGCTGACATGTACGGTACCGCAGGTGTCAATCACAGCACCGAGCTGAGCCGGCATTACTGGTACCACTGCCTTCCCGGTTGGCCTGCAGCCCCTGCTGGAACTTGTTGTCGCATACAGGGACACCAGAGCCTGTGGAGATGATGTGATCTGCAAAATGCTGCAGCTCACCTCACTCTCCTTCTGCTGTTTTGATTGTCAGTGATTTCATCTCAGTCATTCTCCACTTGCTTTGTTTTCACCAGTCCGCGTCCTCCGTTTGAACATTCATGCTGCTTTTTGCTTTTATGCCAGCCCTTTTCTCTCCAAAACGAAAGCCGAGCAACATCAAGCGGCTTTTATTCAGTAAGCATGCTCGGTTCTATTAAATGCATTCGCCACAACGATCACACACGTTAGTAATGTTTGCATCACAATTATTTTGATGATTTCCTACTGTTTATGACTACAAAGCATTAAAACATTTCTGAAAACTGTTCCTGGTAAACATCTAACAAGAATGTGTGACATCTGATATGCAGAAGCTTCTCCTGAGAGCTGAGAAGGAGCCTCGGTAAGCTTGCGTTTGACACCTGCAGAGCTGACGCTGATGATTTGTGTTGAGCGGTGATGTCATGTCTTTCTGTGGAGAACGTGGAGATTCTACTGAGAGTCCAGGCTGACAGGGGTCCTGAGGTGGGATTAGGATGCAGGTGCATCGTGCAACAGATTAGGCTTCTGGTGAAGGAGGGTAGCGGCCTTTCTTCAGTGGTCGTCAGCATTTTAAAAGCCACAAATGTGTTAACCCCCATTTAGAACAAACTACAACCCTCTCCCAACAGTTAATTCTTCCATTTTGTCTTAATTCATGCATTCCATTCTTGCAAATCATCCATGCATTTATTTAATTTGATTTCTCACTTTGGGCCTGCAGGATTTTTTTAACAGTAAAATCAATGATTTCCGTGTTTCTGCAGGCATTCCCTAATCCACATCCAATCAGAATTCTCCTCTTTAAAGCCAAAGTGCTCAACTCCACCCACCTCAAGGGCCAACTCCTCAGTCTCAAACTGTCTCTGGGCGACGCGGCTGGATCCAGGGTGGTCATGGTAGTACACCACCATCACATCATATTTTTTCATCACAGACTTATAGTTCTTGGCGTTGAGGTCGTGGACACGGTCCTTTCCATCGTACTCGGGGAAGTCCAAGCTGTCCTTGCCCAGCGACAGCCCCCCAAATGACAGCAGGACTGCCACAAGCACCCACCTCCACTTCATGGCTCCTTTTTGAAGCAGTTGAAATGTACTTAAAGTTTTTGAATTAATAACAAAGTGGAGTCAAAAGGAAGCCCTTCCCAATCCGCGTCACCCAGAAGAGAGCAAGACCAACTCCTGGATCCACCTTATTACACACCCCACATGGGAAACTGGCAGTGGGACACAGCGTGCAACAGGGGCAGGGCTAAGTTTGACATAGGTGTGAGTGTGACCGCCCATGTGGGGTGTCACTGAGCATGGGAAAGATAAGGCAGGGCAGCAGCAGTTGCTGGGGGTGACAACTGTGTGTAGGTGTGTTTGAGTGTCTGTTACAGACCTGTACATGTGGGGTGGAGAGAGACGACGGGAGGAAAGTGGACCTTCTTTTCTCTCTCAAGCCATCCACAGAGCAAACAAAGATGGTGATGGAAGAAGAAGGTGCAAGAAGAATAATGTGGTTGACTCAAATGTGGCTGAACTCTTCTACCATATAAAGTGAGGATGGAGATCCCAGCTAAAAATAATGGATGTGGGACAGAGAAGCACATATCAGGAGGGGCTGCTGCTGGTGTCTAATTTGCTGCTGCTGGCATCCGGGGAGCGATAGAATGTGGAGTTGGGTCAGTTAGGGACATGGGGGAGAGGGAGGCGAGTGCGGGGTGGGGCACCTGCTCGGGCATAGGTGTCACTTAGCCCTGACTCGAGAAGAAAGTGAAACTTAGAGTTTAACCAAAGTAGAATTGTTGTGAATCACTTTGCTGCACATGCACCCATCCTGTGCAAGCCTTCTTCGGCACGTGATAGTGCTTTACAAATTTAGAGGAGAGATGTTCACTAAAAACATGTGCATGATATCATAAAACACACATGTGCATTTCTATTCGGTGTTAGGATGGTGGAAACCCCAGCCGAGCCACAGCTCAGCTGTAAACATCTAATTTAACAGAATGAGTCAGCCTGAAGCCTCATGAGGAGACAGTGTTCATTTTTGGTTTCTGCTCTTGTTTCAATTGAAGGCCCTAATAAGTAAAATAATGACAGTAAATAGCGTGGCTGGATTAAAATGTCTGCCAATCACACAAAGATGAGCATAAAGGGGCTGCAGCACCCCAGAACTGATTCACATGTTCGGTCATTTTACACCCAATGGTTGTTCTTTTGTTATATTATTATTATTGTATGACAACTGAGCAAGAAATGAAGCTCAGATTGCATTTAAATTCAGATTTTGAACAATTAGTAATATGTGTATTTAACTGCTTGTTGCTCAAAGCTGCTGGATTAAAACCAACCCAGTTTGGATGATTTTGGTAACCAAGCGTGGGTTGGTTAATCGGTTTGATCATGCAGATTGGACAATGAGTCATGCTGGAAAGGGGGTTAAATTAACTGAGGTCAAAATTGGTCATTTTTATTTTAATCACATAAGATTAAAAACATTCATGCAAAAATTCTGCAGAAACTCCAAAAGGTACAAAAAGTCACTGATTCTACATGAAATATAAACCAATTTGGGTGAAATAAAATGATGAGAGAACTTGCTACATTTGACATAAATGTGAAACAAAAAGTTCAGAAAGAAAACAATCACATAGGATTTAATCAATTAGAACTATTTACTGGAACCTGATAAAAATTATGAAATTGTTAAATTTATTCTAACAAGAACTCCAATAAAATAACCATTATGATAAGTAACCAATGACTGGATACAACTACAGATCTTTTTTACTGTTTGCTCTTTGTCTAAATAGACATTTACATGACTTAGTGTAAACACTTGCTCTTTTTATTCTGATTCCTTGAAAGAAATGGGAATTTCCGCCCTCTGCTGGCAGAAAATAGAACAACTTTCAGCATTCCAACATTTGGAGATAGAAAGATGGGTGCTTGCTGCCCTCCAGTGGCTCAAACTGGTATTAACGTTTTTAGCCAAGAAGAAGAATATTTAGCTTCATCGTGGGTGTTTGTAGCCTGCTTTTAGGGTACTGAACAGTGTTGGGCAAGCTACTTCAAAACTGTAATGCATTATGTATTACTTGTTACCCTCATTTTAAAGCAACTCATTACATTACAATATTACTGATTATAAAATGTAAGGCATTACACTACTTTGGCATTACTTTAAGTTACTTTCACCGAAACAACTTCAATATGAATCTGGTAATGTGACGCTCAGTGAGCTCATGACATAAATGTGGAAAGTGATGTGTTGTCTGAGCTAGGATTGCTGTTAAAAACAGTCAGATATCAGCCTAGTGAACTACCAAATTCTTGCTTTGCAGGGTGTCTAGGCTCGCTCCATTGTAGCCTCCGCGGCTCCCACCAGGACTCTGGCTAGCCAATCACGACTCTCTTTGGTGGTTGTTGGGCCAATCACAGCGCTATATATTGTGGCCCAATCATAGCGCTTTATATTGTGGGCTAATCACAGTGCTCTAATCAGCGGTGTAGCTGAAGACGTCAGAACTGCGACCGCGAACCGATGCCGCGCGATCACAAACAACATGGCAGCAGCTCTGGAGCAACGTTCGTTTGAAGCGGCTTTGTCGGCAACATTGGACGATTTAGACTTGGGCTTTTCTTTAAAACACGAACAGATAGAGGCACTAAAGTCCTTCATTTTTAAAAAGGATGTATTTGCTGCGTTGCCGACGGGATACGGTAAAAGTTTAATTTACCAGCTAGCTCCGGTTGTTGCTAAACGAATGGGACTCCGTGAAAACCCACTTGTGGTTATAGTCTCACCGTTGGTCGCCCTTATGGAGGACCAGGTGAAAGAGGCGAGTAAATTAGGACTCACTGCCATGCAACTTGGCGTACACACTTTGAAGGACATTCGAAAAGCCAATTGTCAGCTGATATTTGGTAGTCCAGAAGCCTGGCTCATGCAGAGTAAATGGAGAGAATTGTTATCTACAAAGGCCTTCAGAGATAACCTCTTGGGGATCGTTGTGGATGAGGTACATCTGATTTACAAATGGTGAGTAGCAACACATAACCTAGCCTGGCAAGCCATCCAAAATAATTTTGCTTCAGCAAATGACGGTCTATAATGTAGGCTACATCTAACCTACATTTCCAAGCAATTACATTATGTCTGAATGATGAAGTTTACAACCAGATGTTAAGTTATATTCACTATAAACTCAGATTTTTGAAATTAAACAAAACCTAATATTTAGAGTTGGATGTTGTTGGAATTTGACTTTACAATTTGCTGACTTTTTGCCCAGGGGAAAAGCTGATAAAGGACACAAGGCCTTCAGAGAGTGTTTTGCAAAGTTGGGTGAACTGAGGTCAATTGTGAGACGGGGTGCGTATGTCAACATTATACAATAAAATCCTAGACTGCATCTATATTTTTGATTATGCGATGGTGGTATTTATGTCTCTGCATTTATCCCTTAACACACACACACACACAGCAGCCCCTCCTTACTCTGCACCACCATAATGTGTTAGAACTGTCATCCCACTTATGTGTGTGAGAAAATTGGCGCTCAAAATAAACTCAGATCTTAGCTGACAATATTTACATTAATTTCTAACACACAATCCTTAACTTATTAGTAAATGCGTATATGTTCAAAAAAAGTGTAGCAATGTATAAACACATTATTCAGATGTTAATGCATTTTACTTTTTCTTACAGGTACACCCATTTTGGCATTGACGGCTACAGCAGACCTGGATTCCCGAGCCATTATCCAAAAACAGCTACATTTTGAGGATGCCACTCAAGTCACTGTTAGCCCCAACCGAAAAAATATTCG